AATTTTGAACGCAGATTTCTAAATGCATGTACAATTCTGGCTGCAATCATAAACCAGCTAGTTATTGAACAGTCCATAATTCTGTCTGTGCCAAAGACCCATCACAGATATATTTTCATTTATGCTGATTCAGCTTAACAGCGCACTATAACGAGTGGTGACATGAGAACTTCAGGAGTTTTATTTTTGCCACGTTTAATGTATTATTATTCATTAATAAATCAGGATAAGACCAACATAAACAAAACAAAGCAGCGAAGATAATAGACGAGGTGTGGGGATACTCTGGGGACTGAGTAAAGCTGGTTGTACATGATGATATGAAACAAAGGTTTTATGCAGACATACGTTTTCTCAACACATAATCAAATTTCACCTACTTGGTTATTAGTTTCTTTGACTCACTAGACAGGGTTTTGGGTGTGGATATATGTGTAGCTGCTGTCTACAATTTGCCTCTGTGAGTTTCAGAAGCCAGTGCACATACCTCCTTGCATCTGTGTCTCAGCATTCATCAGACCCAGCGTAAGCCAAAAACAGCACATTACCCGGATTTCATTGCACCCCAAGGAGGGCCTACTCCATCCGAGAATGTTATTAGCAGAGCTTAGAAGGATATTTCTGACTGTGTCTCTGAATCTCTGCTGACAGACAGAAAAACATCCACACACAGAGCAAAACAGTGCAGAGATGCCACATTAAAGTCAGACTTAAAATCTGACAAGCCAAATTATCCGTGATTCATGTCGCTGTGCTACTTCCTCAGCTCTGTAAATACAACGTTTTTCTATTCCCTTTTATATAAACCAGAGGTGGCTATTTGTTTTTTTATTATTACTTTTTGAGCAAATTTGCACATTTGTCATTGCTTTACTTGTTTAAATTTATTTGTAAATATTTTGTTTTCATGTCATATGCCCTTGGATTTGAAAATTCAAAACTGACAAATACAGTAGTCCCTCAATACTTTGCAGTTCGACTTTCGTAGACACACTCTTTCATGGGTGTTCAACATAAGACTGTATGCGACACATGATTGTCAACTTTAATATTATTCACGTGATTGGGACAGTACGGGATTAAATGTTAACGTGAGCAGACGGGAGAAGGAATCAACCAATAGGACAAAAAACAACAAAACAAACAAACAAAAAAAAAACTTCGGACAGGTGCCGCCATTTTGTAGTTATATTTCAGTAAGCTTATACTGTAATGCAAGTCAAAAGAACTACACGGCCCAGAAGCCAACGGTGCTTCCAGCTACTGCGTTCTGCCGAAATTCAAAGAAACACAATGGAGGGAGCAAACACTAGCAGAGAAACTGATGTGGTAAAAATACTATGTAGTTTTCCAACACAAAGTCAGAAGTAACTATCTATCTATTAAGTTCACAGAACAGGAAAGTCGTAAATAATCCTGAAGCTGAACTCATCCTTCAAGTTGTAGTATCTTCACTGGTGAGTACCCATATAAAATTTTGCAGTACTGTACAGTACATATACATATGTTGTTTAAATTACACAGGATTAATAATGCAAGACTGTGGGAAATAAAGCCTATATATAT